CTGTGGCCACAGAAAGCAGGGAACATGCAGAACCAATATTCCCTGTCTCTTTTCTAGGAGGGGTGGTTAAGCTGGGCACTTTGGCTTAGGGATATGTACAGACCTCTTAATGCCACACACCAGAAAAACATGGCAGAGCAGCCGCACGACAAGGAATCTTCTGATGAGGAGGAGATTTTCAACAAGGATGCTGGGTAAACGGCTGGGGACAATTTAGAGTCGTATCTAAAATGAGGGATAATAAAAAGTTTAATTGCTCCTTTCAAGAGTAGAAGCCTTGGGCTGGGCATGGTGGCTCACGCCTGTAATCCTAGCACTCTGGGAGGCTGAAGGGAGTGGATCCCTCAAGGTCAGGAGTTCGAAACCAGCCTGCGCAAGAGCGAGACCCTGTCTCTACTAAAAATAAAATTAGCCGGGCATGGTGGTGCATGCCTGTAGTCCCAGCTAATCTGGAGGCTGAGGCAGCAGGATTGCTTGAGCCTAGGAGTTTGAGGTTGCTGTGAGCTAGGCTGATGCTATGGCACTCTAGCCTGGGCAACAGAGTGAGGCCCTGTCTCTCTCTCTCAAAAAAAAAGAGTAGAAGCCTTGGCATTGTCTTCCTATCCCACGGAGCTCACCGAAGTCATGGTGACCACACCAGTGGAATCGGCTACCGAGGCTGAGGAAAGTGAGAACCCGCCTGAAGAGGAGGAAGGATAGTGACCCAGCCCGCCTCAGGCCTCCTGTGAATAAATTTTTTATATATTATATATGGCTTCTCGGCATTGCTTATGAGAGACTTATTTTTCTCACACTAAAATGTATCCATTGCCAATTCCGCCCATATGGTAAGAAATTAAAATGTAACTAGTTAAATATTTATCTGCACGTAACAAGGGCCATAGGAAAGAAAAACAGGCCTGAGGCCAGAGTCCCTGGTGCTGGCCAACACTCCCACAAGGGTGATGTGGGCAGAGGACTCACAGGGCTTCCTCGCCTCATTTCCCAGTCTAATCAGTCTCTGGGAACCTGAAAACATATCATCCTCAAGGGGGGGCCTATTTTTAAATCAAATACAGTTGTTCTGGGGCTCTCTCCCCTGGTTCATCAAGAACCAGTCATTTAAGACATACAGGCCTCCTGCCCACAGGGGGTCCTCCACCTTCTGGCCCCTCTCATAGGGTCAGTGAGGTTGCCAGAATGTCTGGATCGCTGAGCCTCCCTGCACTGTGGGGCCCAGTCCTGTCTTTCTTCCCAAGCCCTAAAACTCTTGTGTGAATGTGTGTCCTGTTTTGGTGGGGAGTTCTCCACTCTTTGAAGCTGGAAAATTTGCATTGGTTTTTTTGTTTGTGTTTTCATTTTAAAAATCCCAACTCTTGGATAGCTAGTGGGGAGGGGTTCGGGGGTGTAAGGCAAAGAAGAATGTGTGGGCCGGGCGCGGTGGCTCACGCCTGTAATCCTAGCACTCTGGGAGGCCAAGGCGGGCAGATCCTTTGAGCTCAGGAGTTTCAGACCAGCCTGAGCAAGAACGAGACTCCATCTCTACTAAAAAAATAGAAAGAAATTAGCTGGACAACAAAAAAAAAAAAAAAAAGAAAAAAAATACATAAAATGAGCCGGGCATGGTGGCGCATGCATGTAGTCCCAGCTACTCAGGAGGCTGAGGTAGGAGGATTGCTTGAGCCCAGGAGTTTGAGGTTGCTGTGAGCTAGGCTGAGGACACAGCACTCTAGCCAGGGCAACGGAGTGGGACTCTGCTTCAAAAAAAAAAGAAGAAGAAGAAGAATGTGTGAGAGCAGTAATTTCCTAAGACAGCCCTCCTCCGGCCTTTATCGCAGAAAACACGTTCCTTGGAGGGGCTGCTTCTCCACTCACACGTTCTGCCCTGGCCACTCCTGACCCTCCCACACCCCCAGCACAAAATCCACGCGCTTCCTGCCTCACCCACTGCAGATCCATGGCTGCCTTGTTCCAAGTGATGACGCAAGTGCAACTCTGCAGAAGATGCAAGGGTTCCTCTGCTCCATCTTTAAAAAGTCATTAATAAATCATATTTAGTAAGTCGGTGAGAGTTAAGCACAGTAGTGAGTAAAAGAAAATCTGAATGAACAAGAATTGACCGTCTACCTAACTGAATGAATGCTGGCAGTTCCATGATAACAGATGAAGAGCTGTGTACACCACAGAAGAACGGCCAAAAGGATTATTTAAGGCAGGGGTTTGCACATTTTATTGTTTCAGGTGAGGACAGGGGACAGCAGAGGTGAGGTCAAGCCCAAATTCTTTTTTTTTTTTTTGAGACAGAGTCTCACTCTGTTGCCCAGGCTAGAGTGCTGTGGTGTCAGCCTAGCTCACAGCAACTTCAAACTCCTGGGCTCAAGCGATCCTCCTGCCTCAGCCTCCCGAGTAGCTGGGACTACAAGCATGCACCACCATGCTTGGCTAATTTTTTCTATATTTTAAGTTGTCCAGCTAATTTCTATTTTTTTTTTTTAGTAGAGACAGGGTCTCACTCTTGCTCAGGCTGGTCTCAAACTCCTGAGCTCAAATGATCCTCTCGCCTCAGCCTCCCAGAGTGCTAGAATTACAGGCCTAAAGCCCAAATTGTTAGACTCCCATCCTAGAGTGACTCTTTAGGGCTGGGGTGGGGGGCTCAGGAATCTGAGTTGTGGACCTGTCCCCCGGGCATTCTGATGCCTTCAGTTCTCCTATCTAGCTTTGACTAACTCTGAATAGTGTTTTAAATCTAAGCTGACAGACCAGTAGATGTGAACTGCCCTTGCAAGTGTTTTGAGCTCTTTGTGCTCTGGCCTCCAACTGTTAGTGCATCCCCCTGTCCCACCTTGTGCAGTCTGTCTGCCCCCTCCCCTTTCCCTTTTCTTTTCTCACTTCCAAGCTTCCTCTCTACTGCTGGGAGCACCCTCCCCAGAGCTCAGCCTGCATTCCTGCCCACTGGCCACTTACCTAGCAGTCCCTTCACCTGCAATGCCCTTTCCTCTATTCACCTGGAAGGCTTAGATCAAAAGTTGCCTTCTCCACAATGCCTCTCAAGTTCTCCCCTCTGGTCCCATGGCACCTTGCAGTTGCCTTTATTATTGCTCCAGTGACATGGTAGTGACTTTTTTTCCCCATCTGGAGACTTCCTGGTGGGCTCACCTTCTGTCTGTAAAATCTTCTGTGGAAACGTGCACTTGGTGTGTGCATTTCCCTTTCCTCTACCCTCCCCACCACAATCCATGGTTTTATGCAGCTTAGCAAAGGCATATGGAGCAAGATGAGAAGAGGTAGATAAGCCTGCAGACATTTCAGAGAAGTTGGGAGCCTTGGGACGTAAGGTAAGACACGGAGACAGGAGCTGCTAAAAAGCAGACAAGTGATTACTTAGGAGCTCCCTTCTAGTAATCCGGCAGACAGCAGCTGAGCACAAATGTAGTGTAATAACTGAAGGCAGTTATGTGCTTGATTTACAGGCAGGGCATGCTTGTGTCAAGCCACTTACGATTTTGCTGTGCCAATTATGACCAGAAACACTATCCTTTTGCCAAGGTAAAAGGATTTCCCTAGTAAGTTCCTTGTTCTCCACCTTGTTTAAAATGAGTTTAACATCAGAATAGTTTGACTCTATGTGCTTCTTTCCAATCTTCCTGCTCAGACATTAACATTAACTGTGCTGAACATATTCAGACGTACCTGACCTAAAACTGAGGAGGGGAGGTTTTCATTCCTTGGAAGAGAATTGCTGAAGAGGCAGCCCCCAGGCGAGGGATCACAGGAACCCCCACCCAGACGATGTCCTTGGAGCTTGCTTCCAAGAAATGGCCCATTCCCAGCCATCCCTGTGGGCTCTTGGATCTGCTTGCAGTTGTACCTCGCTCAACCCCACAGCCCCACATTCTGGTCCTAGGCTCCATTTGACCAAGGCCTGCAAGTGTAAAGTGCCCAAGGCACCGTCCTGCCAACACCTGCTTTCTTGCCCTTTACCACTTGTGACATTTTTTTTTTTTTTTTTTGAGACAGAGTCTCACTCTGTTGCCCAGCGCGGTGGTGTCAACTTAGCTCACAGCAACCTTAAACTCCTGAGCTCAGGCGACCCTCCTGCCTCAGCCTCCCAAGTAGCTGGGACTACAGGCATGCACCACCATGCCCGGCTAATTTTTTTTTCTATATATTTTTAGTTGGCCAATTTCTATTTTTAGTAGAAACGGGGGTCTCATTCTTGCTCAGGCTGGTTTCGAACTCCTGACCTTGAGCGATTCTCCCGCCTCGGCCTCCTAGAGTGCTAGGATTACAGGCGTGAGCCACCGCGCCTGGCCGACTACTTAAGACATTTTGTTCCGAGTTCCTTTGAAAGAGAGATGTCACTTGTACGATGGAAAAGAAACATACAACTACATCCAGAAGAGAATACGCAGGCCCCTGAGCTTCGCACCGCGCGGGGCTGACGGGCGAGTTACGGCAGGGGAGTGTCCAAGGGGACCTCAAGGCGCCCCCTCGGGTAAGGTGTGGTCAAAACAAGCTATGTTTTCCTGAAAGCGCGAGGCTGAGGCTCCAATTTGGGTCTGGCCCTGACAGCCTGGCTGCGCAGATGCCCTCGGGGGGTGGGGCACGGATAGGGCAGGCGTCATCGGTCCCACTCACAAGCCGACACTTTCCGCTGAGGGAGGTGAGGTGACAGCCCAAACGTCGCGCAGATGATGCAGAGGCCGAGCGAGGTGAGGAACCCAGAAGCCAGGATCTGGTCTGACGCAGGCCTGCGGGAGGCGGGCAGGACGGACGCGTTCCGCCTGGCACGGTGCCTTCGCCTCTCCCAGCCCGGCGGGCACTCCAGGTCGGGAGCCACCCAGACCACGCACAGGCTCGGGGTCACCTCAACCGCCTGCTGCCCCGAGGGGCTGGCCCCGCCCCAACCGCCGGCTGCCGGGAGGGGCTGACCCCGCCCCGCGGCCCTTCTGGCCCTGCGATTGGCTCTATGGGACGGGCGCGGGCCAGAGCGCCGAGCCAACGTGATGACGTCAGGCGCCGGGAGCACCGCTTGGTGTTGTCAGTGGCCGGGAGGCCGCGGCGTCGGTTCCGAGGCTGAGGGGCTGCCGCGGCCGGGAGCGCTCCCCGGCCGCTCCCGCTCGGTTTGGTGAGTTAGAGGTTAGGGAGCAAAGAGGGCAGCGGAGGAGCGGGGTGGGGGCGGGGGGGGGCAACTCTGTGAATATACCAAAACTATGGAACTGTACATATTAAATGGGTCAATTTTAGGTATTTGAGTCATATCTAGATAAAGATTTCGGCTGGTGAGGTCGCTCACGCCTGTAATTCCCGCAGTTTGGGATGCTGAGGCAGGGTGATTGCTTGAGGCCAGGAGTTCAAGACCAGTCTGGGCAACACAGTGAGACCCTGTCTCTACAAAAAATGAAAAAAATTATCTGGGCGTTGTGGCATGTGCCCTTAGTCCCAGCTATTCAGGTGGCTGAGGCGGGAAGATCGCTTGAGCCCAGGAGTTGGAGGCTGCAGTGAGCTATGATGATGCCACCGCACTCTAGCCTGGGCGATAGAGCGAGCCCCTGTCTCAAACAAACAAGTAAATAAATGAAGTGGTTTTTAAAAAACTTTAAAACAAAAGGCAACCTCTGTCTTTACTTCTTTCTCAACAGAAAAGCAAGAGCTGGATCTCAGAAGATGACTACTTCTACCGGAGATCGCTTCGGATTGTCCCGTAGCTTCTTCCAGAGGCAAGGCCCGGTCTCCACAGGCATTTTTCTCAAGGACCAAGAAAAAGCTGCTCCCTGGGGGCACTAGACAAAGCGTGTGCGTCTTCCCCGGGAAGCAGGCAAAGCCAGGCGCCCCGGCGCAGGAGCACAGGAACTTCTGGGTGGTGCCCGGGAGGCAGATGGGTAGGTGACTCTCAGGTTCCAGGTGGGCCCCATCTGCAGGGACTGTGCCTTTCAGAAAGCAGCTCTAAAGTCCTGTTTTCCACGACCAAATGGGCGATGTGTTCTCACAAGAAAAACCTCATCCCAGAATGTGTTCATGAGAAGCATTCATGCTCAGTAATTCAGGAAGGCACTTCAGGAAAAATACTGTATTTTCTTATAAAATCTTAATAAAATAATGCTCAAAACTGTCTACAGAGTACAAAAATACTGTTTCATCTGTGGAAACAGAAAATATTTTCCTTGAAATTACTCTATAAAACTTGTGATTATAGAGAACTCTTGATTCTGTCTGTAGCTCAGAGCAAACCCAGCTGGTTGAAGCCTTGGGTGTTTTCACTGATCCTTCCAAAGACTTTTATCTTAGATGGTTTATTTAACAGCTCTGGTGGGGTTTATCAGATCTGCTGTTTGTTTAGTGTCCTCCACGTGCTGTTTACAGTAAGGCCAGCTTGGTCTCCACACCTTGTGAAATTCCAGAAAGCATTAAATAACTAAAACCTAATTTTTCTGTAACCCTCATAATGGGTTTCCTCTTCAAAACAAATCAAAAATATGTGCCCTAGTCTGTCTCCTCATTTTCCGTTTGCAGTGACCCGGCAGAGAATTGTGCCTGGTGCAGGTCCCTGGGCCGGTGGTGTGGTAGAGCCTGGTCTCCAGGCCGGCTCCTGCTCTGAGTGTCCTTCAGCCCTTGTGCTGGCTGCGGCCTCTGTCCTCTGACCGTCCCAGAGACCGGGTGCTTTATGCCCAGGCCTTCGGGTTCCCTGAGGGGTAGAAACCCCATGCAACAGTGTGAAAGCCCCAAGGCTAGTCCAGGCTGTGGGGCAGAGAATTGTGTGTCCTTTGGAACCCCTGGTTGGTGACAGACCCTGGGGAGCAGGGAGCATTGAGCAGTGTATGGGTACACAGGCCTCACTCACATGGTCTGCACCGGTCCCGGCTCCTGTCCTCTGGCTTGCTTGATCTGCTCACACGCTGTGCCCAGTCTCCCCGGTGCCACCGCGATTCAACTGCTCCCCTGCCCCATTCTCTACCTCCTGTTGCTCCTCCGTGAAGCCTTGCCCGGGGCCTAGCACCTGTGGGTTAAAACAATGCACATCCCCATCCTCTGAGCGCCCCTCCCCATGTACCTTACCTATACTTCTTAAGAGAATCTCCCTGATGCGGCCTTGCCTAGTTTTCTGTCCATACACTTGCCTCTCCCAGAGAGTTCTCATTCATCTCTAGCTGCCCGAGTCTGGCGCACAGAAGGGGCCAAGTGAAGGTTGATTGAATAAATGAATGAACCTGTCAATTGTCATATCTTTGAAGCTCCCCTCCCCCACTGATTACACCGTGGCGGTTTTCTGTGTGGGCATTCCTTCCCCTGCAGCCCCTGAACATGGTGGGCTGCCCTCCCCTCTGCTCAGGTCACTCTGCCCCCTCCCCAGGCAAGCTCACCCACCCAGACAGCTTTAACTCCTGCACTTGTGCTGCCAGACCCCAAGTCCACCACTGCAGCCCAGAGCTCTGAACCCCGCGCATACCTCCCACCGCTTCCTCTTTGCTTGTCTTTGTGTGTCATTCCCACCATCTGCCTTTCCCACAAACATTAAGCTCCATCTGAGCAGGAATCTTGTCTGTCTGATGGACCCAGTGCACCCCCTGCACTCGGATAATATTTATGAAATGAATGACTGACTGACTCTCCCTCTGAGGTCCTGTGAACACTTGAAATACAACATACCCCCACAACTTCCTTCCCTGTCTTTGCCACCTCTCTCCTCCTTGTCCCCAAATTTAGAAATCCCGGAATCGCCCCAGATGGCTCCTTTCCCCACATCAGCCAGTCACTACATTGCCCGGATTCCACCGAACTTTCCCATCCCCACCTCACTCAGCCCCTCCTAGTCTAGGCCCTCCACACGTACCACCTGGACCTCCCCTCCTCCTCCTCGGGGCAGCTGGGCTCCTGCCGGCGCCTTTGCTGCTGACCACGTTGCCACCTGAGTGATTTTTCTAAAACGTCAATCTCGTTATGTCAACTCTGACTTAAAGCTCTCATTGCATCCATATCCCAGTTGTGTTTCCTGAAATGTAGGACTCAAAGCGAGTGGCACATGACATGATTCTGGGAGGTTCTAGGACCTCACAGCCTAGCTCACACCATGCACCAGGGCACCGTGGGATGACCACTAACACAGAATTGCAAGATGAGAAAGTTGGTTCTTTCTAATTCTGATTACACTGAGGAGAGAGAAACTCCCTTTTTTCACTTGTTAATCTCTCCTTGCAGGAATCAGTACTCCAGCCACAGCTGCCAGCCAGCAAGAAAGGCAACTAGCAGAAAACAACACACAAAAAAGACAATTAGCTATTAATGCATGGAATGATAACATGGTCTTATTAATATTTTTATTTTATTTACTTTATAGTTACCTACTATATGTGACATGTGATATCAGGTTTCTTTTATTTATTTTTATTTATTTATTTTTGACACAGTCTCACTCTCTTGCCTGGGCTAGAGTGCCATGGCATCAGCCTAGCTCACAGCAACCTCAAACCTTCTGGGCTCAAGCGATCCTCCTGCCTCAGCCTCCTGAGTAGCTGGGACTACAGGCACGCACCACTGTGCCCAGCTAATTTTTTCTAATTTTAGTTGTTTTGGCTAATTTCTTTCTATTTATAGTAGAGATGGGGTCTTGCTCTTGCTCAGGCTGGTCTAGAACTCCTGAGCTCAAGCAATCCTCCTGCCTCGGCCTCCCAGAGTGCTAGGATTATAGGTGTGAGCTACTGCACCCGGCCTCTTTTTTTTATTTTTAATAAAACAAATTTTTTTTTTATTCTTTCTTCTTTCTTTCTTTTTTTTTTTTTCTTAGATAGAGTCTCACTCTGTTGCCCAGGCTAGAGTGCTGTGGCGTCAGCCTAGCTCACAGCAACCTCAAACTCCTAGGCTCAAGCAATCTCCTGCCCTCAGCCTCCTCGAGTAGCTGGGACTACAGGCATGCGCCACCACATGCCCGGCTAATTTTTTCTTTTTTTTTTTTTTTTTTGGAGTAAACCATGCAAATGTAATCGCTAATTTTTTCTATGTATTTTTTTAATTGTCCCAGCTAATTTCTTTCTATTTTTGTATAGAGACGGGTCTCACTCTTGCCTCAGGCTGGTCTTGAACTCCGACTTCGAGTGATCCTCCGCTTTGGCCTCCCAGAGTGCTAGGATTACAGGCATGAGCCACTGCGCCCAGGCAGAATATTGAACTTTCAAAACTGCAAATACTTCTTTAAAAAGACACATGTTCTCACTCACATATTGTCAGTGGAATTATAAATTGGTATAATTTTCTTTGGAGGGGATGTTGGCAGTAAGTACTTAAAGTCATGAAAATATTCACATCTTTTGCCCAGTAATTCAATTTCAGTCAATTTATCCAAAACAAATAATTAAAAAGAAGACATAAACTATGTTACAAAGATGTTTCTAACAGCATTCAATATAATAAAATCTATAAAATAAACTATATGCTAAATAATAAAGTAATGTTTAGGTAAATTAGGGATTTTCAACCCAATGGAATATTATATGGCTGTGATAAATGATAAACTTGTTATGCATCAAATGTAGAGGTGTTTATAAAACAATTCAAAATCCTCAAAGCATCTTGTAGAAAGATACGCATTTGTGAGTTTCACTCTGCAGAAGAAAGAGCAAATGCTAAAGTACTTAATGAAGTTGAAGAGTCACATCCTTGGGGTTATATAATAGATTTTAACAAGATGCAAAGAAATATAACTCTTAAGAGGACAGTGGGAAAATTCAAACTTGTAGAAATTTTTGAAATATTCAAGTTGTGTTCTGAAAAGAGGCAAAATACACATTTAGTCCTGAGGACTGAGTTTAACAGCATGCTGCACAGAGAGCAGCAAGCTATCTTCGAATGCTCTGAATATAATCACTTGTATGCTTAAGAGGAAAAAATGATTCCCAAGGGTTGCTAATGAGCAGTAAACTGCCAGCATCTTGCATATAGAATTCCCTGGGAGCAAGAAAGTTATTTTGGAATAAATTTAAAAAAAAATCCCAAAAGTCTCCCCAGGAAGCCACTGTCAGTTGCTAAAAAAAAAAAGAAAAAATTCCAAAAGTCCAGATTTGGCAAGCCTCAAATACCCTCCAATGACAGAATGGTCAAAACTTTTATAGTCAAAACTGTAAGTCAAAGGATAGGACGTGATGATCTCATCTTTTGTTTCTGCTTTCAGTGCAGAAAGTTGGTATTTACAGTTAAATATAATTATCCCTTAAATTGCAGGTGCTTAATTCAGCCCATTAATGTTGCTGCACTGAATGGCCAGATTCATTAGGTCCTGAGGTCATGTCCAGTTTCTTTAGCTACAGATTAGCTCAATCCCTCAATATTGGGAACAGCAAAAGCAAATTTGCAACTTTCCCAGGAGCAGGGGAGTCGTTAAATATTTGGATTTGAATGGGATGTCTACTAGGTTGAACTTTGTGGAACAGGGAGAATTTATGGGAGCATGGAATATCAGAGAGCCAGTAAGTTAAGAAGAGAAAGTCAATCTGCAAGCCTGAAAACAGGGTCTGGACTAACCATACCGAGTTAAACACACACACCAGAATGTATATACACGCACAGGTATTGATCGTTGTTCCAGAGCCATCAAAGCCTCAGGTTTGAGGGTGACATTTTCATATATGGACATTCAGAACATGCTTGGAGAAAGGACACATGATGTATCCTGAACTTGACAGGCCAAGGTGTAGTTGGAGGTCAGAGGCAAGAAACCTCAAGTGGAATGTAATGAAGGAAATAAGGAAATTACAGAAAAGAATGTGGATGTTCAGAAGTCTAAGTGTAAGGTTTAAATGATTAAAAGCTGTGCTAGGAAATTGGGGGTGTTACAAACATCTATGTATTTAATATTAGGCATCCAAATATTTAACAACCCATATAGTTTGGCTCCAGTAATATACCCAGCCTGGATGTACCCAAGTTCACTGGCTAAAAGTCAGCCAACAACTATGTGTGGGAAGTTTGTGTGTTTTGAATAGAGAATTTAAAGGCAGGGTGGGGGTTATGGTGAAGTTGAAGCTATAAAAGCATGTTTTTGTCAATTGGATTGATGTTACATGATTTTAGGACGATTTTCAGTGTAGAAAACCTACTGATTCCTTGTTCAACTGCTGATCATTAAAAAGAAAACCTACTGATGGTGCAGTTATGTGAAGCTGTGTGCCCAATCCAATCAGGGATTAGAACATACGATGTGGATGTTGATGTCAGAGTAGGAGACTAGGAGACAGGGCCGAGACTAGACGCAGGGGCTTAAAGATTGGGTGCAGGGGTTAACCCTCAGGCAGAAGCTGACTAGAGGGGCTGACAGCCACAGGCAACAACCAGCTTCCACTGGCTCATCACCTCTGTCACCTTACCTGAATTTTGGCTATTTATAATAACATTTACATTGTAGTTTTAAAATTTCTCTGCCTTTGAAATCACCATGACAGTTCTGAGACAACCATATAAAGTATGAAAATGGGAGGGAACCCAATTCTAAAATTACTCTCTAAATTCTTAGTAAAAGACAACCCTTTGGTCTTGAATATTTCTCTCCTCCATGAGGAAAACTAGAAAAAAATCTAAAACCACTTGCTCTCAGTGCAGCGCTCTCTTTCCAGCCTGCCCGTGCTCTCTCCTGAGAGTGTACTTTACTTTCGCTTTCAATAAAAAGCTGTCACTTGCTTGGCTTACATCACATATCCTGAAATTCTTTTCTCAAGGATCACCAAGAACTTGGAAAAACCTCCACTTGGAGGCCAGTAACATCGACATCAGTTTCATGATTCAAGAGGAGAGAATGGAGAGGTGTGTTTGCTGCTTAAGCTCTGAGGAGATTAATAAGCAAAGGGCAATAAAGCATTTCTGCCCTCACATTACTCATCCCCAGAGGACCCTTCTGTGAATAACAGGAGTTACATGAGATGGAGAAATCACATCACCTTTAAACTGGCACAACCTGCACAGAGAGAACCCGGTGTCCCACTGGGGTGGTGTCCCTATAGATCCCCTTGGGCACGTGTGTAACTCACGTGTGATGAGGGGGAACCAAGCTCCTGGTAGATGGATGGATGAATCTATGTGCATATCCCACTGGGTTATAGATTCATTTTGGGTAGTATTTGGCTGTATAATTAGATCAGACACCCAGATTTTTCCTACCAAGGGCCCTGGCCCTGAAGGTACCACGTGCCTATTAGCAGGCAGGGCTTCATTGCACACAGTTGCCTAGAACTGTGTCTAAGTCGTGACCACTGAGTTGTTACTTCTTCCTCTATGGCTTCTTTACAACAGCCCACATGTTAACAATTGCCAGTATTCCCTTGAAGATGGGGGGGGGGAGAGAGAGAGAGAGAGAGGGAGAGAGAGAGAGAGAGAGAGAGAGAGAGAGAGGAAGCTACACTTGGAAAGAAGATTGCTTTGTATTTTATTTACAACAGAATGTAAGAAAAAGTCAGTTATTAACAATAATAAATAACTGGGGGGAAAACACAGAACAGCCATAAAATGACACAAAAGGATGGCATAAGTGAGGATCGACTTTTGTTTGCTTTGCTTGTAGTCTATAACACTGTGCATTCCAATACTTGGTCCTTCAGCAGTGGCAGTGGTATATTGACTAATGCAACCAATCAAGATTCCCAGCTCCAATGTAAACACTGATAATTACACTTGAAGCCATATATATATAAGTGGTATAGGTACAACATCAACTCAAAGAACCTCTTGTTGGTGATACATAGAAACTGAAGGGAGACTTGCAATTCAGAAGACATGCTTTCAATTTAGAGCAAAAACTTCTAGAGGCTTATCCTAAAGCATGTTAATTTAACAACAAAATTACAATTAATAATGGTATCCAAAAAATTCCTGACATATTCACATTCTCTTATTGCACTAACTCCTAAAAAGTTTACACACTTATATTTCAAATGCAGATTGTTTTGAAGGTAGAACACAGAAGAACCCAATGTTTTGCCTCAGCATGCCAATGCTGTGCTATTGTGTAACACTTCAGTTTCAGCAAGAATGAATAGTTTCAAATAGTTTATTCATGATCAAATTGCAGTCACTGGAGAGATTTTTTTAAATTTCAAGAACCATGGCTCAGATGACAAGCTGTCCCCTAACCTACTGAGTCAGCTGATCAGAAAGGTACTAAAACTATTTAGAGGATTCCTCGATATTTGATTATCTGATTACACGTCACATTAGTCACTTAACCCCTACCCTTCTCAAAAGGAAAATTACTGTTGACCTAAGCCAGCCAGTGACCTATTCCTTCGTTGTCTTTGAGCCACGAAGAGATGCTAACGAAAGTAGAATTTTAAAAAACACATAAATACATCAGCCCTGAAATTTTCACAGAAAAATGATTTATCAAGAAGTGTCAGAATCTATTCTTTTAGTTCATTGTTTATTACAATGTCTTGAAAGAAAACGGCACAATTACTTTTGGGGGTATTGTGTTTTTCAAGTGTCTGCATAATACATCCCCAACTGTGCTACTTAGGGATTTATTTTCACAAACAAAAACTAATGGCTAATAAATACCTCCAAATAAATTAAAACCATCCTCCCCACACACAGATGCAAAACAATAATAGAAGGGTTTATAAATTAGTTCACCAATGAACCCAAATTGTTTGTCTTTTAATGGTGGTAACTAACAATGTCACAGCCCCCTTCGTTTTTATCCTTTTCCTTTGCTTTGTCTTACTACAGCCAAAAGAGGGAAAATGAAATGATCCTCAGAGGTGATTTTAACAAAGTTTATGCAATAAAAACACCAAGATCTTCTCAACTCAGGAAAACACAGCTGAGTCAAGAATGCTGTGCTATAGTCAACAAAAAGCACAGGGGCATTTCATATTTGAAATCCACCCAAAGTAATGAAATTCACGGTCACTTTGATGGTCTTCACTAACATCAGAGATGAAGATGGGGTGAACATATGTGTTATACTATAGATTATTATTTAAATTTGGCTATCAGAGACTTAAACTGGTGGTGTCTGATTCACTATACTATATTTATATATATATATATATATACACAGATATAATACAATTTTGGTGAACAAAGTTGAAGGTTTCCATATCGCAGACAGAGGCACTGAGTTAAGGATTCTATTTTCCCCCAGACATGCTTAGCAAATTCAAGTTTCTGCTTTTTTTCTTCTAAATTTCCATCATGCAGCCATTTGACTTCCATTCTTGTAAGAATTAATAATGTTCTATTTACACATTCATTGGAGGCTTGTATCCTACAATAATAAATTCACGTATGGAGAATGTAAAACTAAGATTTGTAAAATATTGAAGTCATTTATGCTTTGTGATGACTGGATTAACTATTCAAAGCAGCTAAATGAATATCTGCACACCCCACCCCCTTTTTAATGCACACATAGCACATGTAGACAGAAAAACTGAACATACATTGAGAGTACACATATTTGTTGGCTAAGGACCACACTACCATGGGTAGCTTTGAAAATGGTGTCTGTGGTATTATACTGGCTATCAAAGAAACAAAACTCACAAAAGGAAATCAGAAATTAACTTTCTAAAGCAATATAGAATTGTTGACCTTGACAGCAAGAAGCCACTTTATAAAATGGGGAAATGGCAATGGTATTAAAGGAAAAACTAAATGTTTAGATGTTAACAACCTGCACAAAATAACTTTGTTCTATGTGAAAATAATGATCCCACCCCCACCCTGATTTCAGCTTGCAAATGGTAAGCAAATACATACACTATCTCAGTGTCTTCTGAAAGCAGAATTTTGCTTTCTAAAGCCAAACATTCTCATTAAGTACTACTGTGTGGAGGGGGAGCCATTTGAAGTCCAAGGGGTTTGATAAAAGTTAAAGTTTTCCCACAAGCAAAAATCATGCTTCTATACCATGCACAGGTGTCTTACTATGATACTATCATTCTCAGGGAAGAGATGCACTGTTGATCTAAGCTATTTGCAATGGGTTTCCTTTGAGTTCTGAGTTTCTTCTTCTTTTTTTAAAGCTAAATGTCAACCTATACATAAATAAATGATCTTGATAATCTGACCTATGACTTAGAACACTTGGTGCCAGGCTCTTGGGGCCAGCACCTGCACCTTGGGAGGAGAGTGGATAAACCTAAAAGACACCACCCAGAGTGCTGAGCACTGAGAGAAGGAAGCAGGCAGGGTCCACTGGCTGAGAGGCTATGTGAGCAATTTTATTTCCTTTGGAATCTATGTTTTTGGGAAGGTCCTTTTCCTGAGATTGGAGGTTATGGTCAGGAAGGCTAGCTGGGGCATGGGCCTTGGAGTTGCCTAATTATCTCATTCTCTTTCTCTCTTAGAGGATAAAAGTCAATGCTGAGATTCTGCTTGCCCTCCCTTCTGTGTTCAAAGGCAGTGAGGTGCAAAGGTGACAAATTTCTCTCTTTAGACCAAAGGAGAATTCTGTTTCTGCCACTTTGATGAATAATCTTACATTACCACTACTTGCAGGAAAGAAAGCTAGACAGCTGGGCATCTGTTATTACTCCTTCTTTTTACTCTATAAAATGGGTCAACAATTCCGCTCATTTTCTTCTCCCACTTGACAGTGTTTACTCAATTTCTGTGACATTCCCAACATTTGGATTTCAAGTAAGAAGCAAAAGAATGGTAGTCTTTTCTAAGGTCTGGTGGTGGGCAATCCATTCCAGGGAAGTCTGGATGTCACTAAGAGTAAAACAAAGAGGGGGAGGGGAGACAATTCTCTTTTTCATGGTTCATGCACCAGACATTCTGACAGTGTTAAAGCCCGGTCAGCTTATTCTTCCCTTGAACTTCTTTGTATGGGCAAATAGTCAATGGATTCTGTTCAATTAATTGCAAATTCTGAGAATCTTAATGAATAATGGAAGCTGACAAGTCAAGGTTTGTTGGTACCTGTAGAGATAAAAGATGTTGCCTTACCTGGGCCTCTTGGTTCCTAAACTAAACCATTCCAGAATTAGTCAGTTATGGTCACAGTCATCCATGCAATTCTTAAAAGATTTCCGAGGCCATCAGGGCACAAAGGGGAAAGTTATTAAAAGACAGAAACAAATGGAATCCTTATTAAATTCTGTGGAAGGTAAAAATAAGTTATCATTCATTATAGTTGGAGCCTCTATAGGTTGGTAATTAAAATTTTCAAAAATTTAAGGAGTTAATTAGGCCCCAAATCCTGAGTCGAACTAACTAGATAGGAATCTCAGTAACTATTGGTATTCAAGTATTGGTGATCAGCAGTTTAAAATTTAATAATTAGGTATGTTGTGCCTGAGAGTATTTTAGAAAATTTCATGTCTGATGGGAGGAAATTGACTTCATTATTTGACCACACCTTATAACAAAGCGGTGCAAAGTTTTCAATTTATTTACCCTTGAAGTCTGTGCCAACCTCATCAAATGCCAATAATAAGGCTTCCTCCCTGGCTCACAGCTGTGGCTACAGAAGCTTCCTTCTGTCCTTTGCAAGTCTGACATCTCTCATCTACTATGACGGACGCTGTGTGGCGTACTCAGGGGATCATACTGTATGTGAAGTTACTTAATCACATGCACACTCAGGTCGAGGGAACATGTTTTGGGTGACAAAGCAGTCTTTTCCCATATCAGAAGTTTCTTTAAAAAACAAACAAATCCCAAAACCAAAATATAAAACCCCATGAGATATTCATATGAAGTTACTCTGATTTGGGCTGACACGGCTTATCTGAAGAGTGCATGCCAGGTAAATTCAGGGTGGCTTTTTTCTCAGGGTCTGGAAGTGTGAGAGTTTCTGGGGCAGATTTTTTCCGGGGCCGATCTTTGGGAACTGACAGGAATTCTGGTGCGTCTGTGGAGAGAGGGGTGGACGGAGCGCTGGAAGGGGCGCTGCGGACAGAAGACGGCAGCAGGGGGACACTCGAGATAGAAATTGCAGGTGGGAAAACGCCGATTTTCTTGTTGGTGGCTTCCTGAGTGGCTCGTTCGAATTCTCGGACTTCATCCATTGTCATGTCTTCAAAGAGAAAAACAGAAAGGAAAATGAGCAGTTATTTACAAGAGATACAAATGGATTTATCATTACACCTGTTTTTAAAGGAACTATAGGAACCCAATCCCAAAGGGGCCTCTCTGGATGACAAACCCAAACGATCACTGAAATACTAAACCCTTAAGGTTTTCTTTTGACCGAGACACAGCCTTGAAAACAGTATTCCTTTATGAATATCCAACCAAGATTTTCCAAAGCACTTTCAATGAGTATTTTCTGAACAAGAAACCAACAGGCCATGGGATGATATATTTAAAGTGGAAAAAAGAAAAAAAAAAAAAAAGAAATCAACAGGAGAGTATAGAACCAGAGTGGGGAAATGTATGCGTTTGTGTGTGTGTGAGTGTGTGTGTTGTGGGGTATATGGAACTATTATTAGACCTGGTCATCTCTTCCATAAAGAGAAGGTAATTAAAACAGTCAATGGCCCTGAAATGATACATAGTATTGTCAACTTTAGATTACAGAAGAATAAGTATACCTTTATAGGGTAGACAGGTAAATCATCAAAATTTCTCAACACGCTATCTTCTTATTCAATAAATATACATTTTGTGTTCTGAGGGAGCACAGAGATGTTGTGGTTACAGATTTCCTGACTGTGTACTCATCCTGAGATTGTTCAGATCCGTGTTTTCATAAATTCAGCTTGAACATCACGTAAGATGTCAACACCAAACCCTGCTAATTATTCCAAAGCCAAGAAAATAAAGCCATTTCTCAAGGAAACTTAAAAAGGAAAAGAACAGAGAATGAAAAGAGAGGATCATTTAATGAATGAGGATTTTATTAAAAGGAAGAAAGCATTATTTGGAATTCAACAAATAAGTCAGTGATGCCTCCTCTAACAGGTGTTGTCAGATGATACAGATTTTACAAATACCTGAAATGTTTTTATGAAATGAGAAAGTAAAAGCAACATTTTAAAAAATGTAAACCTTTCTCTAATGTAGTTAATGTGTCATATATACTTATTATCTTTGAGACATAGCAATTGAAAATGTATCACTGTGCAACACTACAGTGATTGTTTCCTTCTCAGGCTCTTCATAGCTTGCTATCTCTTCTCTCATTCTCAGAAACTCTGTTATTATTGTTATGGTTATTATTTATTATTGTCAGTCTGGCTATCTCTGGTACCTTTTGCCATTTTTATTTGCTGAGAACAGGGAAAACAGGTAACTGGGCTTATTAAAATAAGCACTGAGTCAAGGCCCAAGGCTCATCCTTAAGCAAAATGCGAAATCTGCATGGATTTTCATCTCTTTTGGGTTCCCAGAGACCCACTGTTCATTCTTTCTTGTTCTCTGTCACATACTCAGTAGTTGAAATTTCATCTGATGATATTGCATAATAAACTAGAAGAAACAATATAGCCACTTTGGAGATATTAAGTATGGAATGAATATTCATAACACATATTAATCATTAGGTCTTATAACATCTGAGCACATCAGAAGTATTTTTCATAAAATGAAATCCTTTAGAGGATTTTCTAGAAACAATTATTAAAATTATCTGGAAGGGAAAAGTTTTTATGAAGGAAATTAAAAAATTATAATTGTGTTGCTGTGATATAAAATTCAGAATATATCAAGAAAAATTGTACCTATAAACTCACCACTTTTTAAAAATACTAAGAATATTAAACAAATTGAAAAGTGAGATTAAGGGTTAAAAAGAGGTATTTAGGCCAGGCAAGGTGGCTCATGCCTGTAATCCTAGCACTCTGGGAGGCTGAGGCGGGTAGATTGCTTGAGGTCAGGAGTTCAAAACCAGCCTGAGCAAGAGTGAGACCCTGTCTCTACTATAAATAGAAAGAATTAATTGCCAATAATATATATAGAAAAAGTTAGCCGGGCTTGGTGGCACATGCCTGTAGTCCCAGCTACTTGGGAGGCTTAGGCAGTAGGATCGCTTGAGCCCAGGAGTTTTAGGTTGCTGTGAGCTAGGCTGATGCCACGGCACTCACTTTAGCCTGGGCAACAAAGCGAGACTCTGTCTCAAAAAAAAAAAAAAAAAAGAGGCATTTATTTCAAAACAAAGTTGAAACTCAGAAAAATTTTATTGGATCAGGATATGGTATGTTTTTGCTATAATAAATGGATATCATCTTTGGAAAAAATTAGACTTTTTAAGTGAGTAGCTGAATACATTGCTCTACTGCACACATCCAGCAGGGGGCAGAAATTATCCAAATCACAGAATTCTGATTTTCCACTCCCTTCTAGAGTCCCTAAGAAGTTCCCTTCCTGTATCACCTGCGTTTCGGTCACAATAAAAAAAAAATTAAAATTAAAATTAAAAATAAAAAAGAAGTTCCCTTCCTTGAAGGCTTTGAAACTGCTCAACTGAAGGAGACCGTTATTTCATTATTGCTGTGTTCATGGATGTTAATTTTGCATAATTTCAATCTAATTTGTCCCTGCTTAGGTAGATGATTTAAATTTCATTTAGCACCTATGCAGTTTTTATTTGTGATGGACAGCAGCTGCTTGATTTTTTTTTTTTTTGAGACAGAATCTGCTTTGTTGCCCAGGCTAGAGTGAGAGCTGTGGGGTCAGCCTAGCTCACAGCAACCTCAAATTCCTGGGCTCAAGCAATCCTGCTGCCTCAGCCTCCCGAGTAGCTGGGACTGCAGGCATGCCCCACCATGCCCGGCTAATTTTTTTTCTATATATATTAGTTGTCCAATTAATTTCTTTCTATTTATAGTAGAGACGGGGTCTCGCTCTTGCTCAGGCTGGTTCGAACTCCTGACCTTGAGCAATCTGCCCACCTCGGCCTCCCAGAGTGCTAGGAAGCTGCTTGATTTTAACTGTTTTCCATTATGGTAGAGGAGAAAGACTGGAAAAATAATTTATCCCCCTCTAGCCTGGGTGACACAGTGAGACCCTGTCTCAATAAATAAGTAAATAAATAAATAATCCAAAATTTCTTGGGATTCCTAAGAATAAGGGAAATATTATAAGCATTAAAAGTAAGCATTTTGTGTAATGTCTTAGGAGGTAGGCATCTTTTACCCTTGAAGTCATGGGAACAACAATGAGTTGTAGCCAGAGAATATATGAACTTTTCCATGGGGTTAGCCATGGTAGGTTATCACCTTCTACATAGTAAACTGACTTTAATTACAAAGTAATAATCATGGTAAAACTGAAAGAAAGCCAAGAAAAGAGGCTTACGTTGTATGCCATAAGTACTCAGAATGAGAAAAGCACTGAGCTTAGTATCTTTTAGACATCTGGTGTCTCCCTCTTTCCTGTGGCTTCCTTTGTCTGGTTGTATTTATAGTGAACAGCTTTCCAAGGGTTTGAGGGGGAACTGGTGTCTAACATTCCTAGAAGAAAAGGTAATTGAAAGCGATGGAAATTCAAGGATAGTTCCTTAAAGAGCATTTCTAACTTTAGAACAGGGAGACAGGATGTGGTGGGGGGCAAGTCCTATCAAAATTGATCTGTGCACAGAGAGGAAACCCCTCAGGTAGGTCTTGCCCCCACAGTCTTCTACAAATCCAATCACTGCATGCAAAATGGGGAGGAAGAGTTAGTGCCCTTGAACGGGCAGTCACATGCATCCAATAGCAGCACATGAGCCTTGCAGGGCACATTCCAAAGACATGCTCTAAAACTTAACTGAACATTTCCAAAGTGCAATCAGAAGGTCTTCACAATTATAAAGCATCCCTTTACGACAATAGCCACCTGTCAATTTCCTATAACTACATTATTGATTTTTAAAAAATCTAATATGTATTATTCCAGGGACTGGTCTAATGAACATGAGGGCTCAAGCTTCATTAGATGACAGAAATAGAAGATCACAGCTCTGGCTGAAGATACATAGAAATGATTTGGTGATTATAGTTTTCTTTGCTATCTCTAGCTCCTCTTCAGAGCATGAATGATTGAGAGGTAACAATATTTAAAGTGCTGGCATGCAACATACAGTCGGTTCTCAATTCCAGTGTGCAACTTAATAACCGGAGCCTCTCTGAGGCTTATCTTATGTCCCAGGCTAGATCCAGCTCAGCAGAATCCCGGCTCACCACCCCTTCACAGCTCAGCCTGTGTGTATGCACAGACTGCAGCCCCATCTTGAGATTACCCTAAGTAAAAAGGAACTGATTGGGTAAAACAGCTATAAAGAGCCACAGAAAGCATTTCAAAGCAAATGTAAAGAAACCTAAAATAGCAGATGAGCCAGAAGCCCTCCCTTGAATGAATAAGTGAGTGTTAACTATGTTTTTAAAAGTTACTGACATGTTGTTCTAGTTTATATATGACATCTATTTTTGCTTCTTGCTCTTTTATGGTTCAGGCCATTTTACTAGTACCACAAAATGTTTCCACTCTCCATGTTCTTGGTTTTATGACTGAAATAACCCCCAAGTCAAGCAGCTTTAAAGAATCGAAATGTCTGGAAGAGAGAGGTGACATTGCCCAATTTAGACCCAGCTCAGGTTCTTCACCAACAGCCTCTGGGCGACGATAAGTTTCTGCAGAAGTTTGGGGACTGAGTGTTTGCAGTATTTCCAAGATCAAGTTTATGTGTGCACTTGGTAAAGCGTGGGCAACATGTTTTAAAAATTCTACGTACACTTGTTTGGGCATGACTCTCTATGTCATCCACAGGGGAGGAATGCTGATTGCAAACTTTTATGTTGGTTTGTTCATGCATGTTTTTCTCGTATTCCCGAACATCATCCATTGTCATATCTGAAAGAGGTCAAGATGGTGGTAACTTCCATTATTAAATGCAAACTTTCAATGGGGAGACTTTAGGGAAAGATGGTAGCTTAGCAGTAGCTAAAGAGGTTTAAAAAAGCAGGCAATTGTCTAACTTTATGAAGAGTAAATCATAAAGTTAGCTAAATCAGCCAAAGGGGGAGTGAGGGCAAGGAAGTTAAGTCAAAACAGTCTTAGAACAGAGAAGAGTGGAAATTGTCTTAGGGGTAATTTTTG